GGTGCAGAGTAGGCGCAGACTAGGTGGCAGCCTTGGAGAAGGCATCTCTGCATGCATGTAACACGATTGGACATTAAGGGAGGCGCCATTGGACTTGGCGAAAGAGTACAAAAATGAAAGGTGTTGCCATCCCCATTGGCGAATAAGAGGTGTCATGGGTTGCAGAGTAGGCGCAGGCTACGTGACAGCCTTGGGGATGCCATGCCTAAATGCATGTAACACTATTGGAGGTGATGGGAGGAGGCTTACAAGTAACAGTGTAGGTGCAGAGTAGGCGCAGGCTAGGTGGCAACCTTGGAGAAGGCAACTCTGCATGCATGTAACACGATTGGACATTAAGGGAGGCGCCATTGGAATTGGCGAAAGAGTACAAAAATGAAAGGTGTCGCCATCCCCATTGGCGAATAATAGGTGGCACGGGTTGCAGAGTAGGCGCAGGCTAGGTGATAGCCTTGGAGAAGCCATGCCTGAATGCATGTAACACTATTGGAGGTGATGGGAGGAGACTTACAAGTAACAGTGTAGGTGCAGAGTAGGCGCAGGCTAGGTGGCAGCCTTGGAGGTTACATCCTTACTTAATTCAAATTCAATATGACCTATTTAGTCTTACATTTATCAAAACACTGATTCACTTAATCAGTCAAACCTTCCAACCTTCAAACCTTCATACAATCAAACCTTTAAACCTTCAAACAATCAAACATACAAACCTTCGAATAACTCATAAACTTCAAACATTCCAACCTTCAAACATTGCAACCTTCAAACCTTCAAATAATCAAACGTTCAAACCTTCAAACAATAAAACATACAAACCTTCGAATAACTCATAAACTTCAAACATTCCAACCTTAAAACATTGCAACCTTCAAACCTTCAAACAATCAAACGTTCAAACCTTCAAACAATCAAACATATAAACCTTCGAATAACTCATAAACTTCAAACATTCCAACCTTCAAACCTTCAAACCTTCACACAACCATACGCAATGGCCTCTGCACCCCAATATGTCATCAATGCACATTTCAACGGTGAGACATACATTTGTCTCACCTCTGGGTTCTTGTTTAGAGACACAGACAACATCTGATTTCTTTTAAACGGGAAAGCCAATTTCTCCTACTTCAAAAAACGATTGGAGGCCAAACTTGGACGAGGCCCGGTGACACAAATATTTTATCAGAATCCAGTTTTTTTGGAAACAACCAAATAATATTTTATAAGGTTGAGGTTCAAGATGACAAGGATCTTCAGAATATGTTTTCCAGCCATGTGTATTCTGGATACGACTCTATTGAGTTGTACATTATGCTGCGAGAGCCTCAGGTGACACAAGTGGTTGATCCTTTGGAGAACGAACAAGAAGAGGTAGATACAGTTGATGAAGAAGAAGAAGATGATGAGTTAGAGTTTGATGAAATGGTGAATGATGATTCCGACGATGATGGCATACCTAGTATTCCTGCAAACGAGATCTACACACCACCTCCGCACATGAAAAACTTCAACATGGGCGGAGATGAACCGTCTTCTGATTTATTTTTCAATTCATATATGAAGTCGGATGAAAACGTAAAAGAGAAGGACAAGTTTCGTAATAGAGAGGAATGCATCAGAGCCATAAAAAATTCCACATGCTCAACTCGGTCGATTTTAAGGTGGACCGTGTCAACCCAGAAAGGTACAAGATCAAGTGTGTCCACCCTGACTGTATGTTCAAGCTCACTGCATCATATAGATTAAGAGGTGATTGTTGGGTCATAGGTTCCATGACTACCCACACTTGTGTCAGTTCTACCCAATCACAGGACCATCGAAAACTTAATCACGATCTCATTTGTCAAGAAATCCTACCACTGGTCAGCAACGACCCATCTTTGAAGGTGAAAACCATCATCTCCCACATCACCATGGTTTTTAACTATACTCCATCTTACCGTAAGGCGTGGTTAGCAAAGACCAAGGCGATTGAAAAGGTGTACGGAAACTGGGAGGAGTCATACCAAGAACTTCCTTGCTACCTGATGCACTCAAGACTTATTCTCCGGGTATTGTTTACATTCTAGAAACAGTGCCAGCATATGCCCAAGATGGTAGTCAACTAAATGGAAATGGAATATTTAGTCGAGTGTTTTGGGCATTTCAACTCTGCATCACAGGGTTTGCATCATGCAAACCAATTATACAAATTGATGGGACTTGGTTGTATGGGAAATACAAAGGCACGCTACTGATGGTAGTTGCACAAGATGGCAACAATAATATTTTCCCAATTGCCTTTGCCCTAGTCGAGGGGGAGACCGGTGGTGCTTGGAGCTTTTTTCTGAAAAACCTGCAAACACACGTGACTCCTCAACCAGATCTCTGTTTGATCTCGGACATACATGCCTCCATTAAAAGTGCCTACAATAATCCTGCAAACGGTTGGCATGACCCTCCTTCTACGCATGTCTATTGCGTTAGGCATATCGTCCAAAATTTCACGAGGGAGATCAAGGATAAAACACTAAGGAAAGCGGTTATGAATGCGGGATATGCATTGACACAACCCACATTCAAATATTACCGCAACGAGATCCGTTTGTCAAATCTGAAAGCCGGTAGGTGGATCGACAATATTCCGGTGGAAAAATGGACTAGGTCATACGACAATGGCCAAAGATGGGGGCACATGACAACGAATCTTATTGAATCGATGAATGGGGTATTCAAAGGCATACGAAACCTCCCGATCACTGCTTTGGTAAAATCTACGTATTTTAGGATGGCTTCGTTGTTTGCCAAAAGGGGTGAAATATGGAATGCGGTGTTGCAATCTGGACAACTATGGAGTGAAAGCTGCATGAAGTACATTAAGGCAGAAAGTGCCAAAGCCAACACTCATATGGTTATACGGTTTGACCGACACAGCCACAACTTCATTGTGAAAGAGACAATCGACCACAACGAAGGCCTGCCAAGACAAGAATATAGGGTTATACTACCTTCTCGTTGGTGCGATTGTGGCAAGTTTCAAGTCTTTCGCATGCCTTGCTCTCATGTCATTGTCGCTTCTGCTTATACCCATCAAGACGTGCTACAACTTCTGTCACACATTTACAAATCTGAAACGTTGCTCAACATTTACAACAACAACTTTCCTTTGGTAGCAAAACCAGATTATTGGCCTGCATACGACGGTGAAATAGTGTGGCACAATGACCAAATGCGAAGGAACAAGAAGGGTCGTCCCAAAAGTAAGCGCATCACAACCGAAATGGACGACCTTGACAAGCTGGAAAGAAAGTGTGGTTTATGCCGTCAGGTCGGACACAATCGCAAAAATTGTCCAAATCGGGCGTCTGCCTCGACCACATAAAAATTGTAATACATAAAATCTTTCCTTTATTTTGTTGTAAACATTAGGTTTTTTCGTTAACAGTATTTTCTACAATAAATATTGCGCGTACAAGAAATAAAACACAATATTCCGTCTATGAAATTACAACTGTTAAAACAATTTCATCTGACCCATGCATCATCAACATTACGTCGCTGTCTGTTTTGACTTCCTCCAACCACACATTAGGTCTTCCAGTCGCATGTGAGGTTGTTGTTCGTCTTCGCTGGATCCTTCAAATTTCCCCCCCTCTACAATGTCTCCATCTAACCATCGCATCAACTCCCGCTTCAGACGCTCCATGGAGTGAATGTGCCAGAATTTCATTTTCATCGCAAGTTTCGTGACGGAGAAGATAACGTAACCATCTCTGATAAAAATCATGGGTGATGTCATGACGCAAATAACAAAGTAAAAAATAAGAAAACAGTGCGAGAAAGTGTGAGAAATAACGGAGAAACAGACGAATTATTTATAAAAATAGCATTTTGCCCTAGGAGCCAAGTGAGATGGCGCCTCCTCTCACTTTTATAGTGCATGCGCCATCTCACTTGGCTAAAAGAGAGAGGAGGCGCCAAGTGAGATGGCGCCTAGGGCAAAACCCTAGGTGGAGGTGCCAAGTGAGATGACTCCTCCTTTGGGGAGTCATCTGAAACATGATTATTCGCGTAATTTTTTCCAAAACGTGATTTTTTGCGATTTTTTTTAATACATGGTTATTCTAAAAAAAAAAAATTCACAAAATTTGACTAATTGGTATAAGTTTTTTCTATAAATAAAAATATTTGTTAGACATAAAAAATATATGAAATTAGACGTATTTCAAGAGCCAAAAATTATATTTAAATTGTTTTTTAATTTTTTTAATGCACGAAAATAAATTAGAGAATTTTATTATGTAAAATATAGATGATCGATATATTTAATGTGAATGTAGATTTCTAAAATATCCTAAAAGAGAGTCACTAAATCTATCATTTGCATTCAATTATTCTAAATTGATGGATGCGAATCAAATCTAAAGATTAATATAAACATTCGTTTTAAAATTTATTTTATACAATTTTCTTTCAACCATTTTCATCTTTTTATTCATATTTTACATAGACAAACACAAAATTTAACATAAATTTCTATTAAATAAATAATATTTATATTTTTACAAGTGACTAAATTTTTAAACGTGACAGATGTGGAACGAGTGTAAGAAAATGGCAATTTAAATTAACCTCTCACATTGCATTATCTCAACAATTTTTCTCATCTACCAAGTTGAAACATTGACTTTTTGGTTGAACTAACTTCAGTTTTTCAAACTAACAAAGCAATGTAATGTCTACAATGTGACTCATTATAGAAGTCATGAGCCATGATGATCCATATGCATATCTCACCTTTTTCTTCCCTGGTTGCAACATGAATCATCACACCTCCTAAACATATTCCATGCCCGTGTACAGACAGAACGACAACCATAGAGAGAGAGAGAGGCCCCACCAAAATATATGATTGCACACATAATAATCATGAGAACTAAAAGAAACAAAAAAAAAAAATTATATATTCATATTATCAAATAATAAACCCCACTTGTTGTGAATATATATGATAATTTTTCTCAGTCCAACTTGGTTTTGAAGCGGTACAAGAGCTTTTTCTTCTTAGAACTTGTGTTGTCAATGGTGAGAACAACTTTCCCATGTTCTCCAACTTTAAAACTGTTGCAAAGTACTGCTTCTTCTGATGAACTCACTTTTCTACCCTTTTGAACAATCACAGTATAGCTTTCTTCATTGCTTGGAACAAATTCTGCACCATACTTTACTTCCCACCCTATTACTCTCACCTCCCAAGACACTAAACATTTCTGCATATTTTCCAAATAAAAAAACTCAACATGTTTATATTTTTATCTAATGAAAATATTATACAGCATGCTATCATAATGTAATATATTAATAATAAAATAATGTAGAGCTTAGACATGTAATCTTATAGTAAATAATTCAAAACATCAACATCATTAGGTGGTTGGTTATCCATTCCAAATTGTGAAAGAGATACAGATTGTTGTTGACCTTTTTTTCTTTCTTTGGGACTAGTTTTCTACTCTTGAACATGTTGCCTTTTTCCTTTTGTCTAAAGTCGTTTTCATGTTCCATAAACCTTTGATAAATGTTGAATGCTCCTTGATTCAACAATAATTTCTCTTACCAATCATTAGTATAAATAGTATAGTGACACCACAATGCCACATTAAATACCACAAAGCATCAAAGTGGTCCACACACTGCACTACAAAGAAACTACTTTTATGTTTATTTTACTTTTTGAGGCGTATTTTATTTATTTCCTAAAATACTAATTTTTCATTTGGTACTGAATTTTCTTTAGGCCTGCAAATTTTGTTGCATATTAATATGAAATAAAAGCAAACAACAAATCAGAAAGTATCGACAAGAGAAGAATCCTATGAAAGATTCCTACTACTATGTCACATTCTTTGGATCCTAAAAAACACAAAGAAAAACCAACCTCAGAAACAGCAAATTCAACAGTATGTTTTGATGCTGGCTTTATTGTAATCTCAGTAACAGCATCTGAATTTCCAAATTCACCATGTTTGCTCAATCCACCATACTTAACCGGAAGTTGCTCTGGCGCTATGTAGCTGAAATTACAAAATGCCAAAGATAAAACTATTCAAGCTTCAACCACAAAACAAACCCAAAACTAAATTTTGAATCCTTAATATGTCTTCACCTCAAAAGGGTGTGTGTTGATTTGGAAGGCCCAGCAAAGACAAACTTGCTTTTGGTTCTTTGTGTAAGAAAAGGGCTTATCATCCTATTCACAGCCAAGTACCACCATGGCACATTGATAAACACCTATAGAACCAAAATAGAAAAAACACATTAACAATGTTGTCAAAACATAACATCAAAACACATGAATAATGTTTAAGAACACAATGTAAGTTACCTGTTTGGCCACAAACTCGGGGTAATTGTCTTGAAACAACTGAAGGGCTTGTTTGGTAGCTTGTCTAAGTTCCCATTTACCCGGTCCAGGAGAATCCTTAAGATCATTGACATGAACAATAGTACATGCATCAACATTGTTAAAATCCAAATTCCTAATACTCTTCTCGAGAAACCGAATTCTCCATCTAAGGAAATTCTGTCTCTTCTCCTCATCAGAAAATGTTTTCTTATACAATTCCTTGTTCTGAAACTCACCATATATGTTATAACACACAGGGTGATTTTCCTTATCAAATCCATGCATGTAAACCACTTTCTCCAATTCATCACCTAGTTTCTCATCCAGCAACTCCTCTATTCCGAATTGTTTTCTCCAGCGAATTGTGTTCTTGATCATTGTGAGAGCCTCTTTCACCTTAAAATCTCTTGCACGCAGAAACTTCAACAGGATCACGTCGCTTCTTTCATCAGCGAGAAGTGGGATCCCGTAAATGGATACTTCTTCTGGTTGTAATGGCAATGCAGCTTCATCTTTTGATTCAACTTTCTCTTGAAGGGGTTCTTGTGGAACAGGAACCGAGGAAGAAACCGCAACAACGGTTTCTTCAATAGCTTCTACAGTTTTTGCTCCATCATCTTCCACAGAAGCTACCATGGTTTCCTTCACTTCCTCTTCCTTCTTATCTCCCCCTTCTTGTTCTTTTTCTTCCTCTTTCTGTGTTGGAACTTCCTCCTCGTCCTTTTGTTGTACAGGTTCTTCTTCTGCCGAGGTAGCATTTTCTGCTGCTAGGGTGGTGGTGGTGGTGGTGGTGGTGGTGGGTGGTTTATCTTCTTTTGCAGATGGTTCGGAGAATTCATGGTTGTTGAGTGCTTGTTGAACGAGAGTCTTAAGCTCTTGAAGTGGCTTGTTTTCATTCCCGGAAAGATCAGATTGAGAAGGTTTGGTGGTTTCTTCTTGTTTGAAACTGAGAGTATCAGTATCTGGTGAGTCGGTATTGGGTTTGGAAAGATGAGTCTCTAGAGTAACAGATTCAACAACTGGAACTGAGTTATTTTTCATCTCAGTTTCAGGTTGTGGATCTTGTTTCTCTGATTCTACCGCAATAGTAGTTGTTGTTTTTTCATGATGTGGAACATTCTCATCGGCAACAACGACAACTTCCTCAGCTCGTGGTGTTGTTGTTTGGTCTAGAGAAGACATGTTGTCCTGAGACATGTTGGATAATTGACAGAGAAGAAGAATGTGAAAGAGGAATAAGAAATTGTAGTGGGTTTAAGGGAAAGCAGTTATGTAGTTTATATAGATATAAAGAGAAAGAAGAGTAGTGGTGTTGTGCCAGGTTGGAAGTAGTAGGAAGGTGGAGCCAGCTAGTAGAAGTAGTTGCAAAACACAAACGTGGGAAAGAAACAGAAGCTGCCATGAATATTTGTAATTGGTCAAATTATCGGCGCTTTTACCGCCCAGTATTCCCTTCAATCATCCAAAGGTTCATTCCACGGGCCTGCTTCTTTTTTTATTATCGAATAGTATGATATTTAATTTGATGAAAACGGTCATAAGCATAATAAAAAAAATAGAGAATTTCGATAAACCAGTTTGACAGGTGTGCAGAGACAGCATATATATGAACGCACATTTGAATCTGCATTATTACTTGATAGGTGTGTAGAGACATCAGAAACATGAGCGCGAATTTGAATATGCACAATTAATTGAAAGATGTGCAGAGATATCATATACATGAGCGCGGATTTGAATCTGCACCATCAGTTGATAGGTGTGCTGAGACATCAAATACATTACCGCGAGTTTAACTGTAAAATTGATGAAACTGGAAAGTATAAGATGCATTGGCTAAATTGTTACTTGGGAATAACTGGTTGTGTTTCTATCTGTTCTGCTTCAACCAACCATTACAATACTATTTGTTTTCATTCATCTTCTTTTCATTTAGTTTATTTAAAAGAAGAAGAAAATTAGTGTTACAAGTCACAAACTTATGATTCCCTACCCAACATACTACTCGAGTAAGCTAGACCCTACTAATTTCCAACACCCCTAACAATCACTTACAGAAACAAACACCAGCACTTACACAAATTTCAGCAATGGCCAACATCAACTAAGTACCATATAACTTAGGATCTCCCGATATACTTATAAGCACCTAAGCCGATTTAATATCTATTGGTTAAAGGAATAATTAAATCCGGTCAACTTACACTTTAACCAATTCCAAAATAGTGTTTGTATATGTGTGATACCGTTTTCTCCTTTTTGCATCCAAAAGGACATGAGATTTGTGATTCATTTGTACCCCTCTCTTGGAAAGATTGTCTTCAGTTGGAATTTTGTTTTGCCACAGTCTCCTAAGAAAATTTGATACTTTAAGTGAGATTACTCAACTCCAAGTAGCTGCAAAATTCCTCATTCTTTCTCTTGCACTATCCTTTAAAATTAATGAATATGCTTCTTTTATCGAATATGATTTTTTACATGAGGGCCACTTATCTTTCAAGTGATCATTCTGACAATTCTTTGTCATTTTTTTCTTAATATCCTCTTCAAGTTTTCTTTCTTCTTCATTTAGGTTTCTTTTCTACGTGGTGTTCCAATTCTCCTCTTCTCTATGCAACACTTCAATAATAGAGCTTATTTATTCTCAACCAAATCAAACAAGCATGCATACCTACTCTTCAAGGTTTGCTCTCTAGCCATAGATCCAACCAGAAATGCATTTCAGCTTCATTACCTAATTTCCTGTACAGATTTTCAAAGAACCAAAGCAATTTAAAACCTCAAACTCCAATTTCTAATTTTTTTTATATCTAACCACCAAGCAAACCTATTCTCTCCACTTTATTCACTCTACCATTGATTTTAGCATATTTACTTAATTAGACTTTGACCTACAAACTTTGTTTCTCAGTAAGTATTCTCCATTTCCACATTTCTAAGAGTGACCCATTAAACGCCCTTAAGTATTTAAAACTTAGACCTCCGCATCTATTTTATGATACACCTTATCCCAATGCATCCAATTTATTTTCTTGTTCTCCATTTCTCCACTCCACAATTTTTTTGTTAAAAAAAGTTCATGAATAGATATTGGGTCATGACTAGTACTCTAAGGATACTCTTTAAGGATATTAAATAAACAAAATTCGTTATAAAAGTCAATTATTGTAATTTTCAATGCATTGATTACATGCATTCTTAAAAAGTCTTACTACTTTAAACATTTAAAGAGTGCCCCTAGATATTATATCTATTAGTATTTTGAAAAAAAGAAAGAAAATAAACCGGTAAGACATATAGAACAAAATTCAGAAAAAACTTGACTCATATTTACTCAATAATACCTTGACCCACAAACTTTATTTATAGGTACATATTCTCCATTATCACTTTTTGCAGAGTGTCAGATTAAACGCTCTTAAGTTTTTTAAACCTAGAAACACCCCCTCTCTTTTTGTAGAGTGTCAGATTAAACGCTCTTAAGTTTTTTAAATCTAGAAATAGTTAGAACATAGTTTGATTCTACAACCCTTGTAAGAGTTTTGATGATAACAAACACAAAGAATAATTATGCACTCTAAAATTATATTCTGTTTTGTAGAGAAGTTCTAATGGAAAAAGATCAGAAGATAAGCTACAAGGTTGTTCCTGCTGTGAATGTAGACAACTCTCAAAAAGCTCTGATGAAAGAAGATCAGAAGTTGCGCTAAAAAGATGTCTTAACTCTGATTACACAACTCTGGGAAAGTAAGTCTAACGCTGCAAACAGGATCTTATGGTTGTGACCTTTAAAAGTTCCGAAGCAAGCAACAACGAATACTTCAATGTTCTGAAGCGTTACAAATCAAATATTTCCATTTCAAGAGTAACGGTTGGAAGGGAACAAGGATATTTATTATTGGAAAGCACCTTAACTGTCATTAATCAAGTTTCCAAATGATCATCCATGATATGCCTATTTAAACAAGACTTGAGGATAAATCATTTACGATTTTCACTATACTCAACAATGCTGCAAACATCTCTAATCTTCATACATTAAATATTTTCAACTGTGTAAAACATCACTATACTGTGATACTGTTTTATAAGAAACAATATTGTACATTGTTTTATTCTTATATTGTTTAGTGCATTTCCTTGAGAAAAATCGGGTTGTGGTTATACTCAAGAAGACTTTGGCAGTTGTCAAAGTAGACTTGTAATCAAGATTGATTAGTGGATTAAGACCTCGTTAGAGAGAGGCGAAATCACCTTGACAGGTGGACTGGAGTAGTTTGAGTTCAAATGAACCAAGATAAAAATCAACGTGTTCTTTTCATTGATTTTTAAGATTCCAATTCAACCTCCCCTTCTTGTGTTTTTCCATTCTTCAATTGGCATCAGAGCGCCTGGTTCTGAGTTCAAGCACTTAACTGTGTCAGTAAAAGATCCAATCTAAGAAAAACACTATGGTGGGACCAAGTCAGAACATCAACAATGACTACCATGATGAGAAAGACAAAATCAGCGGCAAACCTCCAATCTTTGATTGAGAGAACTTTGATTACTGGAAAGACAAAATTGAAAGCTTCTTTCTGGCTCATGATGCTGATCTTTGGGATATGGTGATTGATGGGTACATACATCCGGTTGATGAAAGTGGGCAAAAGATTGACAGAAAAAGAATGTCAGATAATCAAAAGCGAGACTTCAGAAATCATCACAAGGCCAGAACCATTCTCTTGAGTGCCATCCCATATTCAGAGTATGAGAAGATCACAAACAGAGAGACAACAAAGCACATGTTTGATTCTCTGAGAATGACGCATGAAGGCAACACGCAAGTAAAAGAAACCAAATCCCTTGCGCTCATTCAAAAGTATGAAGCCTTCAAAATGGAAGAATATGAAACCATTGAAGCAATGTTTTGAAGATTTCAAATTTTGGTTGCTGGGATGAAAGTTCTGGACAAAGGATACTCAACTGCTGATCATGTAAAGAAGATCATCAGAAGTCTTCCAAAGAAATGGAGACCCATGGTCACTACTCTCAAACTGGAAAAAGATCTTAATAGAATATCTTTAGAAGAACTTGTTAGCTCTCTCAGAAGTCATGAGATAGAGTTAGAAGATGATGAGCCCCAGAAGCAAGGTAAGCCTCTAGCCCTCAAATCTAAAAAAAGTATGATTCTAAAGTTTTGCAAGCAATAGAATAAAACTCTGGTGGTTCCTCATCAGAAGAAGACAAATTATCTCTTCTCTCCAGAAGAGTAAATCAGCCGTGGAAGCACAGGCAAAGGAAATTCAAAAATTCCATAAGAACGGGGAATCAATCTGAATCATCATCTGGATACAAAAAATCTGAACCATCCTCTGTATACAGAAAGTCAAGAAATAGAGACATTGTCTACTACAAGTGCAGTGAGCAAGGGCACTACAAAAGCGATTGTCCAAGGCTTCAGAAGGAGAAACCTAAAGAGAAGTTCGTTAAGGAGAAGAAGAAAAGTCTCATGGCAACGTGGGATGACTCAGACTCTTCAGACGCAGACACTGAATCAGAAGATGAAAGAGCCAACATTACCCTGATGGCCAACATATCAGAAGATACTGGATCACCTGGATCAGAATTAGACTCAGAGGCAGAGGAGGTATTTTCTAACTTTTCTAGATCTCAATTAGAGAAGAGTCTGTTAGAAATTCTAGAATGGTATCAGAAGCTTCGAGTCATAAACAAGAACTTGAAAAAGGATCTAGTTTTTGACTCTGAAGAAACTAAGAATCTAAGACTAGAAAACTCTGAGCTTTAAGAAAAAATTTTAAAACTTGAAAATAATTTACAAAATACTCAGAAGGAAATTGTCCCAGAAGTTCCTAGTAACCCCGATACAATCATAAAGGAATATGATCACAACTTTCAGAAGTTCCTCGCTAAAAACATAGGTAGAAGCAAGATGGCTTCAATGATCTATGCAGTTAGCAGAAATGGCAGAAAAGGTATAGGATACAAAGGTAAAGTATCCCGACCTAATAAAGTCAAGGGTTTGGTTATTAAACGCACTCCTCTGAAATATCACTTTACCTATGGGCACACACATAACTTAAAATATACCAGTAATGATTTCTCTGCTAAACCAAAATTCAAACAGAATTTTGGTAACTTTAACAAACAAGGACCCAAAAAGATATGGGTACCTAAGGATAAAATTTTATATGTAG